AGGAAGCCGAGACGCATTCCAGCCGAAAGAATCTTGGAGAATGAATCAAAGCGCAGAACGCGGCCTACGAGTTCCGATTCAGTGCGTTCGAGGGCAAAATACGACGGGGCTCTTTCTTTGCCATAGAACAAGAAGTAGTATGGATCGTCTGTTGGGGTTCAAGTGGCGAGTCGTTTTTGAGAGGATGGAATACCTTCCATGATCAGAAATTGTGCTCGTTGGCTAGTCGCAAGACTTCTCTGCGACGTTCAGTGAAGCTGTTGACCCAGTTGGATTTCCTCCATACTGGAGCAGGGTTCACAGAGAGAAAGAGAACAACAACATTATGGGTTACCGGGATAGTGTAGAGAACACGGGGTTTGGGCTTCTCCGCGGCCAACTCGAGAATCAAGCGGAGAGAGCTACTTGATATGCCGTCAGCGTCTCCCTCAATCTCTGGCCGACAACCGTGAGAATGCATCGTGGTGCATCCAGAAACCACGCACCAATTTGCTCGCAGTTCAAGCTATGGAACAAGGGAATTACACCGCCGTGCGCGGATCTCCATTAGCTCTAGCGTGCTGTGATTTCTGCACGCACACGCGTAGATCGGGGACTGCACAAACCGAGTCTCCAGGATTAAGCAGGGCAGTGATTGCCTGCATTGTAAGAGCACATCCAGTTCACTAGCTCCACACACCTTTGCAGCCTGCACGATCCTGGGATCCAGTCCTACAATCACCTGCCATCCTTCTCCCAGAGACCGTCCATGTACATGTTCCTGCAGCTCCGCCAGCCACTGCAGAAGAGCAGGCATACCAGCGGTAGGTCCGTATTGCAAAGCGGATGTCAGATCATCCCCGGAAACCGAGAGTTCGAGCTCCTCTCCTCCTCCTCGAGCTTGGCCACCAGGCGCGGTCGTGCCGAATTTGAACGAGGTAAACGGGAAGGAGTACGGATTCGGCTTCCCCGCGAGTAGGGAAATCATCCCTGGTAGATTTTCAAGCGGGAACAAGCTTCGAACTTAGTAAGAGATTAACGCGGTCAGGGATTGCGAACTTTGAGACTAGGCACGCACTGGGGCTGGGAAGCCGCGCCTTAGCGACATCAGACAAGAAGGGAGTATAGAAATCCTCTGAGAGACTAGGGATAGAGGTCTGTGCAGTATTAGGCTAGTTCCATTTCGTATTGACAAGTGTACCGTGTGTGGCATAATCGATCGAGGCGGTGGTAGAAAGGCGAGATCAGATGGGGGAAACCTACAATCAGCGCGTGCACGTGACGGGTCAGCGCTCTTGTCTTTCCGTCACCTACGCCATGCCAAGTCACGATTCAGTCCTTGTCAATGTCAATATATCTGCCCACTGCGCGTGTCTGCTGTCTTGTCTCAGAATCCACTGTCGCTCGATGCGGGAACGCACTGATCGCTGCGCCGCATGTCGTATGCTGCGACCATTGTCAATCTTACCATGGCCGTCGTTCCACGAGTCAGAGTTGCGACTCCGCAGCGCCCATGAGCGCCTATAAAGCTCTGGTTCAAGGCCATACTCCATCTCATTGAAATCTCTCCCACTCGCAACCACCTTACACATGGACGACGAAATTGCAGCGCTGGTACGCTTACGGTGCGATTGGGGACCACAAGTCTGACCGGTATCGCAGGTCATCGACAACGGTTCGGGGATGTGCAAAGCTGGTTGTAAGTTACTTCTCGTTCTCTCCCTTCTGCGTATGTACTCATCAAGCTTCTATAGTCGCCGGTGAGAGATGTGCATTCGTGCGCTCGACGTGTCAACTCAATACTGTCTAGGCGACGACGCACCTCGAGCTGTATTCCCGTGAGACCTCTACATCTACTTGTCTCACTTTATCCTCATTCATCCAGCTCTCTCGTCGGCCGCCCTCGTCAGGCCGGCGTCATGGTGGGCTTCGGTAACAAAGATTCGTACATTGGGTAAGTTTTAGCAGCCACGCAGTTGTCATGTTTCCTCATCCCCACTCTTTTCTCAGCGATGAAGCGCAAGCTAAACGTGGTATTCTGTCGCTCCGCTACCCGATCGACCATGGCGTGGTAACGGACTGGGACGACATGGAGAAGATCTGGCATCACACCTTTTTTAACGAGCTGCGCGTTGCGCCAGAAGAACACCCCGTCCTGCTCACCGAAGCCCCGCTGAATCCCAAGTCTAACCGGGAGAAGATGACGTCGATCATGTTCGAAACGTTCAACGCGCCTGCGTTCTACGTTCAGATCCAGGCCGTTCTCTCGCTCTACGCCTCGGGCCGCACGACCGGGATTGTGCTTGACTCGGGCGACGGCGTGTCCCACACAGTGCCGATCTATGAAGGATTCTCCCTTCCGCACGCCATCAAGCGCCTCGACCTGGCGGGACGCGACATCACGAGCCGCCTCGTGTCGAATCTCGGGGAGCGGGGCTATCAATTCAAGACGACCGCCGAGCACGAGGTCGTGCGCGATATCAAGGAGCGGCTGTGCTACGTTGCTTTGGACTTCGACCAGGAGATGACCACTGCAAGCCAGTCGTCCGTGCTAGAGAAGAGCTACGAGCTTCCGGATGGGAACGTCATCACGATTGGGAACGAGCGGTGAGTAGTAGCTCCTGCGCTGTTTGTTTTTTTGCACGTGTTGATTCATCCTCGTAGCTTCCGTGCGCCAGAGGCACTCTTCGACCCGTCGATGATAGGATTGGAGGATCCAGGGATTCATTTTACCACGTTCAGTCCCCGCTTCATCTCCCTGTTTTGAAAGCTCACTGATCGGCAGATACAACTCGATCGTCAAATGCGATCTCGACATTCGCCGCGAGCTTTACAACAATATAGTGCTCTCCGGCGGAACCACTCTGTTCCCGGGCCTGTCTGACCGCATGCAAAAAGAACTCACTGCTCTCGCCCCGGCCAGCGTGCGGGTGCGTTTCGTTCGCCGCCACCCATTGATACATGAGCTCATGTCCCCGTCTTCATCCAGGTCCGGGTGGTAGCCCCGCCGGAACGAAAGTACTCTGTCTGGATCGGAGGCTCGATCTTGGCGTCTTTGAGCACGTTCCAGAACCTGTGGGTCACCAAGCAGGAGTACGACGAATCAGGACCTGGGGTGTGCATCGCAGTGAGTGTGACACGGCATGATTCATCTCAAGCTAACTTGAATTCTAGAATGTTTCTGAGTCCATAGAATCCGTTCTTGTTGAGATCGTCCCTGTATTATAACAAACTGTAGTTGTGACGCGCACGGAATCAATTATAACGTGTTTCCCCGGAACTGAAAGCGAAACGTATCGGCAAAGTCGCATGAGCCACGCAGACCAGTTTGCGAATTATTCACACCTCAGTGAAAAAATCAAGCAAGAGGAAGCATTCGTGCAAGGCCACCTCTGGCCTGAATCCGCGGCTTCCCGAAGCTTGAATCATCGGCTGGCCTCAATTCGACTGCTGCCCAACACCTCGGGGCTATTAATGCTGCGTATTCGTTCTGCGGCGGCTTAGATTCTCAGTAATCGCAAACGCCTTGTGTGCTTCAACATGGAGCTCTTACACCCCATGTCACCGATTGCCTAGACAGACCAGGTCAATCTGCTGATGCCAGGTCGACGCGTGCACTTGCATAGACCTCCCTTCCTCAGCTCACTCGTGCGCTTTCTTTCTGACAATAGAATGTGGACGGTGCGCCGGACGATGATATTGTCTCGCAGCAAAGGTATGCTCTCCCCACACGCGCTTGCTGTACTGTCCCTGCGACCTTTGACCTGAACACCAGTGAAGGGAATGGATGTGGAAGTGCAGCACAGAAGATGCACTCCGCGGCGTTCGTATGGAAGGCTGTTGGGCTTGGAAGTTGGGGGGCGTCAGGGCATCGGGTGTCATTGCCGCGTTGTGGATGTCAGATCTAGGATCTTGGAAAGTTCGCATCTATGCATGTGCACATTCCTGCACATTCTCAGGTTGACATTGTTGGAAAGCCATATATCTTCGTTGGAGTGCTCCGTTCTGGGCGGATGAGGGGATGAAAAATGTCCCTGACAAGATAAAAACCAAGCCAAGGACTCAATAGCGTCACATTGTGACTATCTGATGCACTTCCCGCTGCGCGCTTCAGCCTGAGCCCTTGCCTACGCCGGCGCAGTCTCGCTGGTGTAGCCATCTTCCCTTTTCCCCTTCAACAGCCACATGCGTGCTCCCAGTCCCGGACTGTTTCACCGCCTGAACATTGCCCTCAGACTGTCCCCTGCAGCCGCATCATTCCCACCCTCGTCAAAAGCGGCACCCCTTCAACTCGTGCTTCAGCTTTTTGCATGGTCTGTCACGACCATCGGCCGCCTCGTTCTCCACTTCCACATACTCCTGATCTCCCTCTATGCGCTGCGCCATGTCTGGAATCGCGTGCTGGAGTACGTCACCCTGCAACTCGTCGGACATTGGGAGCCTGCATTTCCGCAGAACCGCACATACTTCATCGTGGCGCTCATCACGGTCCCGATATGGTCTGCGGGCATGGCGGGCGCATTGGCAGTGTTAGCGGGGGTCCGATACTTGTGGCGACGACTCGGGAGAGGCAGGACAAGACTGTATGACCCGCTGGCAGATTTCGAATCCGAGGGAGGGTCTCCACGTCGACTACGTCCACCCCCAGCACGGAGGTCCATTCCCTGGCTGTTTTTCCTCTGGTGCGGTTTCGTTGGAATGGCTGCGTTTGGTGTCTACATGCGCCGGACCTACGAGCTGCCGATCGACCACCGCTTCAAAGCCGATGTCGAGCTTGCCAATCGGGAACTACGAAGAGAAGGATACGGGACGGGAGAGAAGATCTTTTTGGCTGCCATGTTCTACAATAACGCTGGGGTGCTCCCGTACTGGATCACGGAGGTCACCAAGCTGATCAACTACTTGGGCCCCGACAACGTCTTTGTGTCCATTGTGGAGTCGAACAGCGGTGACGAAACGGCCACGCTTCTCGAGGCCTTTGACGGGACTCTCGCCTCGATGGGTGTCTCGCGCTCGGTCCTCACACGCGACACGTCGATACCGCGTCCCCAGTCGATGGAAACGAAGACGCCTCGCATCGAGTTTCTTGCAGCAGTGAGGAACTTGGTCATGAAGCCGCTTGCAACACATACCGAATACACGCGAGTAGTGTTTAGCAACGATGTTTTCATCGAGGCAGAGAGCATTGTGGAACTCATTCAGACGAAAGAAGGGGATTATGATATGGCCTGTGGACTCGATTTGGCGTATTGGGGGTTAGTTCCTATCATTCCCGATGCTGATTTAGTGCTAAACTTGATCAGATTGTACGACCAATGGGTCATCCGCGATCGACTTGGAGGCCTGGCATCAACGGTCTGGCCATATTTCCAGGAAAGACTGGGCTATGAAGCTGTGATGGCAGATGAACCCGCGCCGGTATTTAGCTGCTGGAACGGTATCGTGTCCTTCAAGTCTGACCCGTTCCTCCCCCCTTCGAAACGACACGGCCAGCTCTCGACGTCCCCGTTATCTAGACCACTATTACCAACTCATCCTTCTGCTGCGACGACCCCGGCGAACATGACGCCGGCAGAAACGCCCGCTCTGATCTTCCGTGCATCCACCGAGACGGAATGCTTCAGTTCGGAGAGCTTTCTCCTCCCCTACGACTACCGGCGGCGCTTCGGGCTGGAGAAGATCTATGCGAATCCACGTGTGATCAACTCGTACACCTGGGAGTTCTATGTTTGGTTCAAGTACGTCTGTAGGCACTGGATGGTCAAGTGGTGGATCGAAAACGTCGAGTCGGGGGGCCAGATGTTCCGTGCCAAGATGATTCTAGGAAATCCCAGCAACTTATATACTTCGGACGGCTTTGAATGTCATCCGGTAGGTGATTTAGCTGTCTTCAGGATCGCAGCTGATTCATGTGTAGTGGCGGTAACATACGACTCGTTTTGTAATTGCATGTCAATGATTTCGGAGATCTATGTGCTATAATGATAGATGTTTTGCTCTCCGCTTGAAGACGGATCGTCCCTATTCCAGTAATACATCCTGTAGACTTGCACAAGCGAATGGATGAATTGCACGTGCAATATCTCCAAGATCACGTGCAACATCTCCGCTTCCCTCTCGCTGATGTCAACCTGTCCAATCATGCAAATAGAAAGCACAAGGCATGACAGGGAGAAAAGGCGTATTAAAAACAACAAACAGGATAGAGAACTAGATGTAAAGAAAACAGAGCACGTGGATGTGAGAGGTTGAGAAGATGAGTGCAATGTGATGCTTTTGGGTACGACCGCTCTCACTCGCCGTCCATCGTGACATCCATCATGGTAAGATCGCCATCGACGGCCTCATTCTTATCCTCTTGCTCCGCAGCGACCCCGTTCGTTTCCTCTGTGTGAACTTTCTCTTCTTCAGTGCCATTCGCTGCGGCGCCATCGGTATCTGGCCCGGCTTTATGCGCATTGAGAATCTGCTGCCACTTGTCAACCAGGGCCTTGGCCCTTTCACGGAACTTGAAGTCGGCGTCCCGGGGAGCCCGTTCGTCCTCAAGAAGATGAATGTGCCGCATCACCTTGCCGATCTTGGAAAACTGTAAACAGCGCATCAGCTCCTGATGCTCGGAGGGAATATTGCCATAACAGACAGTAAGATAGTCGATGTTCATTCCACCGTAACTTTCCACGGTGGTAAACAGAGTATCGATTGCGGGCATGTCCTGATCGTAACTGAATCAGGATGTCAGTTCACTGGGGACAACGTCAGCACACACATCGTCTTTAGGCACAGTCTTGTTGCTGCTTAGGAACGTCTTCTGAAGCTTATGGCGCCATTCTCGCACTTTGACCGCCTCAGGATCGCTCTCCAGCGCAGCATTGGTCTCAGCCGCACTGCCCTTGGATTTCTTCGTCGGTGGCTTAGTTGAGCCGTCATCTTCACTCTCCACCGTCTCTTTGCTCTTCTTCCCTTTGCCTTTCTTAGCAGCATTCTTCTTGGCTACAGGCGAGCTTGCTCGTTTACGTTTCTTTCCAGGTTTGGAGTCTTCCGAGTTGTCTACCCATCTGTTTCAGCACAGGAACAGAATGAGGCATGCAAGCGTACCTTCAGCTAACTCATCTTCATCCTCATCGTCGTCGTCCTTTTTCTTGCGTCCCTTCCGCCCTTTCTTGGGGGGTGGTGTAGCAGTTGTTATGGCTGCTTCCCAGGCCTCAGGATCCAACGCTTTCTTGTAACCATCCACGAGATCGGGTTTTGTTCGTTGCTCGGGCGCTTCGATGAACTGCAGGATCTGACTGTGCGGCAGATTCGTAATGTCCCGCGGAGAAAGCCATGCACTGATGCTGATCAACGTCAAGAGCTAGACCAGGAAACACATACGCACTAGTCGCCCGAAGGGAAAAATCGCACCGCGTAGTACGTGATCTTCTTCGTTGCGGGCCGTTCCTTGGCGACTGATTTAGGAACCGTACCGGGGTCAACTACCTAGCGATGAGTGTGAGCAGGAAGTTGCAGAAAGATGTGCATAGGTATGAGAGAGGTAAATCAGGGTGCACGGACGGCCTGCTTCAAACAACGGTCGAAGACAGGGAGACATCAGGATCCTCAATGATCGAACGACGAAAGACGCTTAGTGAACCATTGTACACCATTGACGACCATGAAAATGATCAGGTGATAGTGGGGGCGGGTAACGTGCAAGAAACGGGTAAACGAGCAGTTCATGAGAATAAAAGCGGTGTCCCCGCTGGGGAGGACGATGACACAGTTCAGAAGAAGGAAGAGGACCAAAGCCCAAAGACCATACTCGTACGAAAATCCAAAAGCACCCAAGCGAGCTGAAAAAACGGTGTCGTGTTCGCCCCTTGAGGACGACAGAGACGATACCAAAGACCCAGGGTGAAGATTCAGGTCTCGGGATAAGATATACAGGTGGCAGAGGCCGCCGAAGGGAGATAGAGATGTGAAAATTGAAAAGCAAGGGGTAGAAGGGAAAAAGCGTCATTGTAAGAGAAATCGGACGATCCGTTAGCTGTGGACATCAGACATGATGTGGAGTGGGCCCAGGAACTGAAATAAAACGTAAAAACAGCCCCCAGAGGAGCCGAAAAAGAAAGGGGATGCGTTTTTGAGGAAATTGGGGCAGAAAGGTGCACGAGGAGATGTGGGAAGACCAAGTAGACTCTCGAGCTGATTGAGCGAAAGCTTCGGAGCACTAGATGCGTGAAAGACAGGCGATAGCCCTCCTGACAGTAGGCACCAATGTAACACAAAATCGGGGGGTGTGGGATATCAAGCGCATACTTCGCTTGCGAACCGCGCAATAACGATCCAGGAGACGCAGTAAGGAAAGATGTCTTTGAATCATGAGTGGAAGGCATGGCCACATGACGCGCTCGTCCGTGGGCCGGGGCTATGTCGCCACCAGAACGAGATAGGATGGTGAACGCAGGGTAAGTGCATCACGGGATACAGCGCGCAGAGAAAGATGAAGCACGAGCGAGATAAAGGCGCCTTTCATACGCGAATGGTGAAGAGACAATGGGAAGGCATGCACTCACCATCGCAGGCCACGGGGGGAATCCACGCATCTTCCCGAGCACGACCTCACGGTACTCGAAAGTCTTCTCCTCTTCTTCCTTCGCACTCGCAGTTTTAGTACCGCTCTTCTTTGCGCTCATCGTCTGCGTGTCGCGATTGAGTTTTTGTTTGTTTGTAGGATTGAGGCCAGAAGTCGCTTGCTTTGACCCGTTGGGGGACCAGGGAAACACCAGAGAGAAATGCCTATTCAGAGACAAGGAATGCAGTCAGAGACCGCCGATGAGGAAGGCGAGAAGACGTCGAGGGACCTCAGAGGCGACCGCGGGTTCTGGACGAGTGGAAGCGGAAAGTAAGTCACACCAAACGCTGTGTCACGTATAAGCGGCAGCACGTGACAACTCATTACTTTGTTTGTTGACTGTGCGAAAACCACTTTCGTCGAGACGTTCTTGCGTGGCCCGAAGCGTGTTAGCGTCCTTGGCTCTATCTGTACACCTATATTTTTCTTCCCATCCCTTGTGAATTGCCCCGAAAACCTGTGTAGCATCGATCTGCACAGATCATCTCACTCCCACACTGACGGCATCGCCGCTCCAGCACACCTGTTATGGATGCACCGGAACCTCCAGACCCATCGAAAACATATCCTTGCGGTGGTCTTCGCCCACTATTTGTCACACGTAGACTGCCCGTTCCCAAAAAGATGCCGATGGATCAAATAGGGCCGGATGCCGGACTTCCGTCCACATGAGCTCAGTATATGGGTCGAGATCCGATTCTCTGAGACGTCCGTCTTTTCGCTTCGATACCGACCCAATGTCCGCTCAAGAGTCCATCCCAGTGTTCACCAACCTCACCGATCTCTACGCCGGCCTCGGTACCGCCCTTAATCACGCCGAGCGATGGGACAATCTCGCTGCAGAATTCGAAACCCGGTTCGGGAAGAAGCCGACGTATATTGTTAGGGCACCTGGGCGCGTAAAGTGAGTTGCTTAGCGTGTGTACATATGCGACAGTGTTCACGATCTCTCTGCCAGTCTTATTGGTAGTCGCCGGCCTACCATGACTCACCCTCTTCTCACTAACGGCGCTTCCAGGCGAGCACATCGATTACGCACTCTTTGGCGTCCTGCCTGCAGCAATCGAGCGCGATATCCTCATCGCCTGTGCTCCGCGCGATGTTCCGGACACCCCGTCTGAACCGCACCACGATCCGGGCAGTGTCATAGCAGAGAACCTGTACGCGAAGTACACGAGACAGATCTTCGCACCGCAGGCTGATGTGCACGTCGAGGGCTGGCATCTGGAGATCCCAGCTCAGTTGCGCTGGGAGAACTATGTCAAAGCAGGGTACTACGGCGTGCTTGACGAGCATTTCAAGGGTTCCGCAGTCCATCCCCTTCCAGTGGACTTGCTGGTCACCGGATCTGTGCCTGCGGGCTCAGGGCTCTCGTCCAGCGCTGCCATGGTCGTAGCCAGCACACTCACGTTCCTCGCAATCAACGACAAGGTGCGGGGCCCAATCTCTCGTCGCACTCTGAGTGGGATTCTGAATGTACACCGTAGCTCAGCGGAACTACGAAGGGCGATCTGGTCAAGATGTCGATGGAAAACGAGAAACGAGTAGGCGTCAACAGTGGAGGGTGTGTGTTTTCTCTTATTCATGCTCGATGCTGACTACGATCAGCATGGATCAAGCTGCCTCTGTGATGTCCGTGCCTTCCTCCGTGCTCTACATTACATTCTATCCATCTCTCACCGCTTCGCCGACTCCTCTGCCAGCCGGAGCTGTGCTTGTATGCGCCCATTCACTCAAGGTATCGGACAAGGCTCTGACAGCGAAAAGTGGATACAATCTCCGTGTGGTAGAAACCTTGGTCGGGGCGCGAGCGCTGGCCCGGACGCTGGGTATCGATATCGGTCCGAAGGAGAAGATCACCTTTAGAGAGGTCGCTGGTCGTCTGGTGCAGGAAACGGATGTTTCTTCTGGGGGAAAGGGGATGTCCATCGAAGCGCTGATGGACGTTCTGCGTCGTTTGAATGCCACTGTCGACAGTCTGAAGCCAGAAGGTTCCACAGATCCCGAGTTCGGTGCCACGAAGGAGGAGATGATCGCTCTTTCCGGGTTATCGGCTGAAGAGTTCGAGCAGGTGTACCTGTCATGGGTCGAAGGTGGGTGAAATGTGAAACGAGTATCCTGTAGTTTGAAGATCTGATCTGTCTTTTAGTGGATGCGACACATTTCAAGCTGTACAAGAGGGCGAAGCACGTCTTCTCTGAAGCCCTGCGGGTTCTTCAGTTCCGAGAGTTATGCTTGGCTGCTGGGAATGACAACCTCTCGGCACTGCAGGAGCTGGGCCGGTTGATGAACGAGTCACAGACGAGCTGCGCCGAAGACTTCCAATGCTCGTGCGAGGAGCTCGACCAGCTGACGCAGATCTCACGGGACGCTGGGGCATATGGTAGCCGGCTGACGGGTGCCGGATGGGGAGGCTGCACTGTGTCATTGGTTCCAGGAGACAAGGTCGAAGCGTTCATCAAGCATGTGAGCGAGAACTACCCGCCGTACAAGGGTCTCGCAGGGGATGCGCTTAACGAGGTGATCTTTGCGACAAGCCCGAGCACAGGGGCGTGCGGTGAGTCTCTTTTCTGTTGCCCAACGGCCAGCTGGCTCATCCAGTGCGTCAGTGTACAAGTTTTAGAAAAGAGTTGTGTGTATCTTGTATATCATCTAGAAACACGAAGGCACCTCGTCGTGATCTTTTGAACTGCTCCGCAAAGTATAGGGGGCATCCAGTCTAGATCTTCAGCTCCTCATGCAGTTCGATGGCTAGCCGCTAGTCCATGCCTAGTGCGACACTTTGAGGTGAGAGAATCTCTACAAAGGTTTGGGACTTTCAGAAAAGGAACTAAGATGAGACCGAAGGATACATCAAGAGCTCAGTTCTTTGGTAATTTTGTACACTCGAACGTGAGGATTGTTCTTTCCGTTGGCACGCCAATATTCGTCATGATACGGGAATATTATTGTCAAGAAGGCTTGGACAATTTCATCATCGCCCCTCAAGCGAGGAAGTCCTTTCAACCTCAAAGGCTAGGATCTCTCTTTATGCAAGTGAGTTGCGACGCGTTCGTGCACTCATAAAGAATTGATACAATCCCGCATTCGTACCGACGCGCACCCAATCGCCAGCAGTATAGGTTAATACCAGAAAGTACTCATCGGCTAGCCGCAGACCCAGCGATCTGAATGCAGCGGCGGCATGCACGTTTCGTGTGAAGTCAGCCAACATTAGATCAACGTAAGCCTGATGAACAAGCGCGTACTGGCAAGCCCGTTTACGCTCGGATCAGTGTGCCACACGCCGATGTGATTCCCCCACACCCAAGAAGAGAAAATCACCGATCAGAGGAGTCGAGGATATATCGCGCAGGCATTTTCGGAACGTCGAATTTTGTCATTGAGTCGGCGCATACACATGGGTGTGCGGATAGGCAGACCTTTTTTAGGCTCCTGACCTGTGCGTTTGTGGTTCGGCATCTTACATGAAACAACCCCAGCGCTCCAATCGGAGTCAACGGTCGCGTTCCAAACGAAGCGAAAGATGAGAGAGGGGATGATGAATGATTAGCGAAGCTCGGCTGAAAGAGAGAGACAATCCCATCAGAACGGCGACGGAAGGGAACTCGAAAGTTTTAGATCCTCTACCAGGCACACGTGACCCTTGTTCAACCTCGCAATCGGAACCTGGACGCAGTATATGAAGATATGTCAGAAGAAAAAATTTATTCAGGATAATCAATCAACAAAGAATTCGAATATGAAACGGATTACAGAAATGTGCTATTGCATACATCGAAGGCTCAGGCAGCGAGCGACGTGATGGACGCCGGGAGCGCATCATAGAGGGGACACAGCTGGTTCCACTCGGAGGTCGGAATCAGCTGCGAGTCCCAGTCGGGAACATCTTCAGCAAATACGATGGCGAAGCCAGCTTCCAAATGCCAGTCAATATGGCAGTGGAGGAACCACGCTGTCCCATCGTCAGTCGTTTGAATGAAGCAGACAAGCTAGTGAATTTGAGCTCACGTCCGCGGTTGTCCGTGAAGAACCGGATCGTGACGTTGTCTCCGGTGGTGCCAATGTTGACGACGTCGCGGCGAGCGGGGTTGGCGTAGTTGTAGGTGCTGCTTCCGGCGGCGCGAATCACGTCGAAGGCATGTCCGTGTAGATGGAAGGGGTGCTGTATGACATATAAGTCTCAAGACGACGAGAGGAGAGACCGACTGACGCCACCGCCGATCACACCACCTGCAAGAGTGACTTCAACTGACGCGAAATGCGGAAGCGTGAAGATCGAGCCCGTAGGGAGCAGTGACTGCGCGTTCTGTGCACCAGACAGAATCTGAAGCAGCACTGGAACAGTAGGCGGAACAAACGACACGTTGTTGATCGTGAATTTAAGCGTCGTCTGCGAGACAATCAGCGCCTAGACAGATTTACAGTACGTGTGGCGAGCGCACCAAATTGAACGCCAAGGCCAAGTTGATCTGAACATCAGCGCCACCGATGAACGCACCACCGGGGGCACCGGGATTGACGAGGGGGTGTAGATTGACTTCATTTACTAGTCCGTTCACAGAAGTGTCCTGCGAAGTCGTGGGCTCTGATGAATTTGCCCCTTGGTCTACGGCAGGTGTGAGTATAGGACGGGATCATTCGATGGTGTTGACTTACAACGCAAAATCGCAGAGTTGATTCCCCCGGTAAAGCCAGTCGGGCCGGTGTTCGGGTTTGCGCGAACCCAGTAGTTGTCAACAGCTTGATCCGCCGTCAGGATGAACGAATAGCGTTGGGCTGGAGACGATCAGTGACTGCTCGTCGAAAAACCCCAGCGTAAAGCTCACCAGGGTAAATCTGGATGGAGTCGACGCTCAACGGCTCGTGGAGGATACCATCAGCCTCGATGATGGTTAGATTCGTGTGACCATCGATCTGGAACACGTAGTTGGAGTCGCAGGCGGTGTTGACCAACCGGAAGCGGTAGCGCAGGCCTTGTGTGACGTTGATTACGGCCAGGGTTGTGTTTGAGAGCGTAGCTGCGGTACGTCCGAGACCGTTAATCAGCATGGAAGAGGGAACGCTAAAGTCGACTGTCAGAATCTGGTCACAGGATGCAGTATGTACAAGACTTACCCCACACCGATCACGGTTTCTGCGAAGACGTTGTACCAGTCGGATAAGGTGATTACCGTGGACTCGTCGTCGACGTCGTACTGTGAGAGGTAGGCATCCTGGGGATCATAAATGATCATCGCGCCACGCAGGCCATCACAGTATTGGGTAGCCAGGTGAGAGTGATACCAGAACGTTCTGAACGGAAGGGAATCAGAAGTGATGCAAATAGCAACAGGAGCTTACTCACCCCGCCTGCTGTGAGGTAAAGTCGTATGTAAACGAGTTTCCGGGAGAGATCGGACACTGATTGACGAAAGAAGGCCCGTCCATGTAGTTCGTCCCGTTCTGGAACAACCCATGCCAGTGCTGCGGGAAACACGTGAGTGTTCTGGGAAACGGGAGACGCAGACTGAACTAACGATGGAAGTGGGCTCGAGCATACGAATGTCTTGCTGCTGGTCGATGACCGTCAGCTGGAAATTGTCCCCGATGTTGCCCGTCACGACAGGGCCAGGAAACGTCCCGCCGGCCAGAACCGCTGCGCGGGGGATACCATCGGGAGCGATGGTCTGGTTGGCCACCACTAGTGAGCCAATAGGTCCTACTGTGACAGCCGAAACTATCCGAGCTGCAGATGCAAGAAAGAGAAGCGTTGGGGAGATGAACATCTGGAGGGAGATTATCAGACGAGTCAACACTGAGACCGGTGTTGTTGTTTCTCGAGTGAGTTTGGAGGCTGCATTTATACGATTTCGATTGTCCAAAGCCACCCAGAATAATTCTGTCTCGTGAGCAATCTGAGATTGAGTTCAACATCTGAAGGCGGCTGCCTGGATGACAATGATGACTGAAAGTGTCTCCGTACAGATTCGAGCAGTGATAGAAACAACAGAGACGGACAAAGGGGGAAATGCCAGTGGAGAAGCAGAGTCCATCCAGAGCGTGGTCCCGAATCAGTTAGAGTAAAAAGAGATATGCACACCGCAGCCGTCGACAGTGATTTACGTTTGATCTTCAGCCCTCGCAGGAAACCCTTCCCACCATGATCTCCGGAGTTCGCCTTTGATGTTTCATTGCTTGCTAAGGTCAAGATGGAGAATGTGCGGCAGACAGACTGATATGGATTTAACGAGAGCAGGAACGCCGCCCGTGACTCTTCCATCGCCGGTGCTGATCCAATGTCACCGGAGGAAGGTGACATGATAGCCGAGTGATCGGACTGATCAAGTCCGTCATCATATAGATGCATTTTTGCCCTCTGTGGCAGTCTGTGGCCTGGATTTTCCGAGAAGAGGGGGTGCGTGCGTACTTGTTATACGCTTTTAGGTCGAAAGTATCCCGGAATCCGAGCCTAGTCCTATACCGCGTAGGAAGAAAGACAGTTGAGGAGACGCACTGCCTGCTCTGCTTCTTGTTCTCCTTGGAGAAAGCCACGGAGTCCGTCAAAGTTGTTTGGAGAGTCCCATATGCGCTGAATCAGCTTCTGAGCATTTTGAGCCAGCGTACTCTTTCTCGAATTGGGGTTCGTTCTGGCTACACTCTCTGCCGGTAGCAAAGCGCGATCGTCGGTCCCTGATGATCCATTTCTGCAGTTGGACTAGCACTGTTCTTGGCCCTACCAACTCAACGATGCTCGGCTTCTTCACCGCACGTGTCGTGTAGTTCATCGGATGACCGACCTCGACAGCGTCACAGCAACCGGGCACCGAGTCGGGCCATTCAACTTGGACTTATCTTTCATTTGTCGATGCAGGGGGGTTCTCGGTGACATTGTAATTATAAGCTGGAATTGCACTTGAGCGTACTTGAAATACGACAGCGAACCGCTGGCGGCCGTCGAATGTATGTGTGATTTGGAGAGATGCTTTCGCGGGTAAACTTTGTTTGCATCAGTCCAGCAAGAGAATGAGCCGGATAAATGCGGCTCCAGACTGAGTGTCCGAGATCGCTCTATGTTGGTGCCTTGATAGGCATGGCTGGTTTGTTATGACAGTGCGTGAGATGAGGGAAATGATAAAACTCGGGATGACGGCAGAGCCTTGAGCGCCGTAGTACCGAATAACCGCTCAGTTGATTTCCATGACAAAGTCCGGAATATCTTGGAGTGTTATACGAGAAAGTGTCGTGGATGGTATTGTGTAAGTCGGACTCTGTCCGCGGTCCGCGATTCGGTGTCACCGCTGCGTTTATTTCCATGGATGATGGGGGTATCGAAGCGAGACCTTTAACAATCAGGCTAGCCGATGCGTCGGCACACACGAATATAGAGACAATCACGAGCTTTCAACCTGCTGCGGAATCGCGTTCTGCCCCAATGGCCGGTCAGTTCGCAATCCTTGCAATGTAGACGGACTGGGCTAGAGGCATCAAGTTTCCCACTCGGAGCGCTGTACCGGGTGGAGAGATGACCAAGATGTAGTTCCGCAAAGTGGTCTCTATTCCTGATGATTCAGCTGACACTAGAAACATTAGCTCATCTTATCAGTTCGTCATGTGATCGCGTGCGTTATGTCGTCACTATGCGCATCGTTTTCATTGCCTCGCAAACATGCATGTAAACCTTGCATCGCAGATCAATTTTGCGAGTATATTGTGCAGTGATAGGGGTAACCCCGAGACTTTTTTTCTCATCAGAACACAGAAATGCAGAGGATGTGCTTCTGGAGGATCACCCTAGACCACTGAGTTCACCTGCTTACAATTCTGTTTTTGCCGCATGTGAGTGCCTTTATGCGCAAATCCCTTTCATTTATGATGTATACATGAAGATGAGGAAGAAGAACATATCGATGCGCTTCAATGGAGCTTGCGTAACTTTCAATCTATTCGTGACCTGTCCAGAGTGTCCACAGCAAGACCGGTGAAGCACAACACAGCCATAAGTAATTTTGGATATCGGATGTGGATTTACGGTCGTCTCAGCAGTCTTGCATTCGAGATCGACGAAAACATTTTGTATTGCCGAATCCTTATCCACTGCAGAAAGATAGTCGAGGGCAGTGCTGTCCCTCTTTTTCGAGGAAAACGTCTGATTGATGGACAGCCTTGATAGGCACAGCTCGTTGATAATACATGGTCTAGTCACCGCCTCAAGGCTCTGCGACACCGTACAATAGCTAGCGATGGACTGCGCTGAGCCTCACTCTCGGCTCTTCGAGCTTGAGATCCTGTTCCATTCCGACTTCTTTTCTGCACACAGCCGGGATGACACGCATCCCATCATATGGAATTGCTGTTCAAGACGGGTTCGGATCTTTCTCGCATTCTCTCAACGGCCTCTACTGTATAAATAGTCACCCATCTCCCACATGATTTTTATAAATACGCCCACCATGGCAAACTCGCCACCGACACACGAATCGTATCTCGTCATTGGCGGTGGGACGGTCATTGGACGCGCCATCGTCTGGCAGCTGCTGCAACGCGGGGAGACGCAGATCGCGGTGTTCGATGGCCAGGATCTTTCTCACCCGGATAGCGTGAGAGAATGGACGGATCCGGATGGTGGTTTGACGCGCGTGAGGATCTACATGGGCGATTTGTCGAACGAGACCGATGTAGCTGGTGTTCTCGCTGCTGTGCGTTTCTCTGCTGCTGGTATGACCGGTTGATGGAAGGCGGCAATGCGCATATAGACTCAGGCGACGTGCATATTCACGACGGCCTTCCTCAAGCCCCTCGGATCTCATGATGATCCACGTACGTTTGCGCGTAAGATCTGCGTCGATGGAACTCGCACGATCCTCCGCGCTATCAAAGCTGGTTCTGGGATATCACGCAGGCTGGTGTTTCTCAGCAACGCCGGGATATTCTTCGACGGTACGGAGCGCACGGTATTGAGTGAGAAGGATGCAAGATATCAGGATCCTGCGACGCAGGCGGATTCGACGTTAAGTTTTCTTACTATTGGTGAGAAGATGGCACTCGAAGCGAACGATTCGGGGGCGGATGGACTGCGGACTGCGGCCATACGGCCTGCTGACATGTACAAGTGAGTCTCTTCAATCTCGCCGTGACAATACGCGTGCTATAATCACGGCAAGTCCTTCAGGAAAGCTGCGCCAGGCTATCCAGGAGGGTCTCACTGCGACCAAGCCCCAGTGGGTTACAGGCCCTGGCGTACAAACCGACAAAACGTATTTCAAGAACGTATCGCACGCTATGTTGCTCGCGGCTGATCGCCTCTCCCCGGCGCATCCGCGACATGCATCTGTCGCAGGTCGCGGGTTCTTCGTCTCGGATGGAAAACCAACGCCCTATGCAACAATTGTCCCCGCTATTGTCGCTAAGCTGCAAGATGGTCGGGGGGCTCCTGACCCTGAATATGGAAAGCAAACGATGCTCGTGTTCTCCCGCATTAACGATTTCGTGGCACGCTGGAGAGGGAATAACCCCCGCATTTTAATCATCAGCGGATGCAGTATCTACAGGCGACTCGGACGTACGACATATCTTTGGCAAGAGATGTGTTGGATTATGCCCCTCTCATCTCGGCAGAAGAGGGCTTACAGAAAATCGCTCAGGTGAGTTGTTCACTCACTCAACCTGAAATCGGAAGCTTAGTCCCATCTCTCCTTGCAGTGGTACATTGATGACCAGCAAGCTAAACCGAAGGACGTATCCCCTGATGTCGGGCGGGATTTGGATCTGGAATCTTTCACCGGGCACGGATCCGACATCAGAATGCGGCGCACCACTCAGCGGTGATACAAACATTACGTCGACTGATACTGTGCGATCGCATTCCCAGTTTCTTCAATTGTATTCAACTTTCGTGAATGTAAAAGTATGTTGTGGGCCTCAGGAATGGCATATGACGGCTGTCTGGGCTGTGACTTACGACAGATGACAGATGTCGAACAAGAGTATCAGCCGAGCTATGAACTCGATCAGCCACGCCTACATTCCCATAAGACTCTTGGCATTTCTCAATCCCAGGAGAGCCGTAGGAACGAGGGGAGAGCCGGAGAGAATCGGAGAGTTCCGGAGTGTCCAAGATTCTGGGAAGGAATTCGTGCGGTCAGCCAGAGGGTGTAAAATAGGAAGCCCAGGTCGCTTGCGAAGGCCAAACTGCGCCCGCAGCCTTGATGCCGAAGCCAGGGCTCGGAGTGTACGAGTAGAGCCCAAGGCATTCGGAGGGAGGTGACCGACGAGCGCCAGAGAGTATCGATTTCGTATCGTCTGGGAGCTCAGAGGTCGGATTGAAGGAGAAAGTTCGTAGAAGGGATGTCGAGCACAGCACTCTGGAAATATCCAAGTAGACGGCACCATCGGTGTTTGTTCGTCAGTCAATGGACGGATTCATTCACATCTCTCTGTACAATTCACCTCGCTAGCCCCCATCCATCCAGCAGACCAGGAAGATTCCTCCGCTTCACGAGCAGATGTGCCACCGACAGCCATGATCCGTCTCGAGTCCCTCAATGCAGTCGAAGGAGCTCACGCCAAGACATAGGTCGTAGTCCTCAGGTCTGTCGGATCGAAAGGGTGATGCGTATGTGCTCGCATGTGGCCAGGCTCGTAACACGCAACCTCTGTACCCCTCCACTTTTCCAATGCTCTCCCTCGGAATCCATGCTCGAACATATGGCTCGCTCTCGGAAGCTTGTAGAACCCATCTACCTGTCAACACCCTTAATCGTTCGTGCTTGGCGCGCGGAAAGTCGTGGAGTCAGCACCAATCTCCATGCCGTTGTGTCCTCCGCATCCAGGCTGTTGTCACAAGGGTCCGTGCATTTACGTAGAGATCCCTGTCGTCGATCCCCTCGTTCAGGTTGTTCCGTATGAGCCTGGATGTGCTTGTAGTTGGACGCACAGATAGAGTAAGCAAGACTGCGGCACACTCACCTTCCGAACACCTAGGTTTCCTAGTGAGATGCCGTCTGGAGGCCCCCAGGCTGTTATTCTCGGTTCCAGGTTTCCTCCCACGCGTAGAAATGGAGTGCATTGAAAGATACAGCATGGAGGCTACACTCGATCCCCATTGATACCTCGAGATGCGCCCAACGGTGTCCCTGCATTTGCTGGCGTCTCCGGTCGAGCACGGGCGTCAGCTGCTGCTTGATCCGTGGCCCGGCGCAAGCATTCGTTGAGGCGCTGCCGGTGGCTTTCTGGTCCTCTCGTTGAGGAACGATGCTGAAAAAGAGAAGCTGAAGGATTGGGGACGAGTCCGTGGTCGAGTAGGTCACCCGCAGGACGTGCCGGAGACATGATGATAGGATTAGAGCTACAGCCCCCTGAGAAGAGAAAGGTATATTCTGAAGCGCACAGAACGTACGTATCAAAGGCCGGCGTCGATGGGGTTCCCCTTCCCCATACAAGCGCGAGCTAGAAGCTGTATTTGAGGGAGGACAGAGTCGAAGGAGCTCGAGTGCGCGCGGTGCATACGTTCACCAACGCTCGCCAACGCTCACGTCAACATCCCCAGGGAGAAGGCCGGCAGTGTGAAGTCAATCGACGGCCAGTTTCCCAGGCCAGGTGCCTTCGGTCCACATGCACAACCTCTTCGTTCACTTCGCCATTTCTCTATGCGTAGCCCACGGTCCGGTTTCTAAGTGCATCTTCTTGCAGCGACAGGGGCTGGCGGACGGTATTCTGAGGGACGGGCACCGGTTCAAAGCGAAGTAGGAATATACGGGTCAATAGCGAATCGGTGGATACTCGTCGAAGCCGTGGGAAAGGTCCCTCGCACACGAGAGAAGGGCTCGCGATTTCGGAAGGCGAGCAGTGCATGACTTGGGATGATGACTTCACTATACCAGGGAAGACGTCCGAGGGCAGTCACCAGCTCCATGCCAGGATGTATACAGTGCTCTGGCACGTGCAATTCTCTATCTGATCCAATCACATCAAACACGTGGAAGTTCCTTCGTGCCCACGCCCGCCACCTTGACCGCCCTGATAGTCGGTCGTTATCCGTTCACCCAACATCTTTGCTGACTAGATACAAAGACGGGATCTCGAAGGGTAGAGGGCGATAGTTTTTTGGATATATTCTAAGGCTGGAAAGGTGAGTTGGTTAATACTTACTGCTCGACCTGACGGAATTTTCCCGCCTAGTCCGACTTTTTTTTTATACAGGGCTATCTTTTTTGTTCCACGATGCAGAAATCTCTAAATTATACACGATAGTCTTCGTGGGGGATATTTCACGAGGGTGAATGTTCGACTGTGGCTCATCAATGGAACACCCGACCAAGTTTTTGAATAGTTCGACCATACTCATTTTTCTCTGTCTCATCGCTTCTGTCTCAGATATCATAGAGTCAAGATTGTACTGTCGGCCTGATCGCATCCAATTGTTAGGGTTGTGGTTTTCCGTCTACCCGTCATTCAAAGTAATGTTTGTGCGCCGCTCTAGATTTTATTTGAATATTGCGTGAATGATGACTAGACTTTTATTGGTACTGAATTTGCAGGGCTCGTATCTCACTCATCAACCAGTCCATGTATGAAACGTGATACCTTCCAGCACGGATCAACGAGATCAGGTCTTCGCGAACGGCGTCCACAATCAGCTCCGTAACACACGGCTGACGAGAGACGGCCATGAATCGCATCGCGGCGATGGTCTGAGCGAAATTATTGAGCGCCGAGTGTCAATCAGCCAAGGAGCGAAGCCACGTACGAATATCTCGCCCTGGTGATCGGAAAATGGATCCCGTGGTTGCGAGACGGGGGAACGGATCCAGTAGTCCTGAACCATCCTGCAAGTGAAATGTAAGTTATGACATACCCAGCGCTGCGGAAAATTCTGCACTCACGACATGAGATCGACGAACACTCTCCACAGTTCCCGCACGGACTTCGCCGGCAAGGCATCGAGCTCATCCTCCAGTGTCTCCAGGACTTTCATTATATCCACGATGAATTTGAGCAGGTTGTAGAGGCCGACGTTGTCCAATTCGCCGCTCCCCCACTCCATGAGCCCCATTCGGCGGCAAGCTTGCAGCACGGCATATCTAAGCTCGTCATGGCTCGGTTCCAGAGTTTGAGCGATCAGCAAGCCGTAAATTTCTTCTCCGTGGTGAGCTGTTGCCATCTTGGATCCTGGAGCAATGTTTTAAGAGATGCTGCGAAAGAGTCATCCTTATATCAGGGGTTTCGGGCCAAGGACAATGCGTTGCATTTCCAAGCAAGGTTTTGACACCCAACAATGTGATTGGACTTCGTTGGCGCTTTGATGGCGCTCAAGCGCGCATGAACGGAGGGAGAACTATGGGAAATTTCAAGGGCTAAAGCCTCTGATTCAGCCGGTCAGCAAGCAATCGAAGAACAATGGAGTGAATTCTTGACAAAACGGAATGAAGATCAGTGAAACAGCGAGGTTCATCGAAGGACCAAGTCTCTCTGCACTGACTGCAATGAAAGTCATCAAGCAACAATCGATGACCCTCCGCCTCATATAACGGATGGGACAACAATTCTTCGACTCGCGAGATTAGAGTGCCGTGTACACTCCTTGATGCGGACAAGTTCTACCCTCGCTGATGACTTGGATCTACCAAAAGCAAAAAACGGTACCCAGCGGCCTTCTGAACTGGATGGAATCAGAGTTGTTGGACAGCAACACAGCTAATAAGGCAGGCACTGGGCGGATATTGCCTGGATTGCGAGAACTCACATCGCCCTCATAATACGGCAGGAGATCATCAAACTAGGAACCTCCGTCGCCACGTTTGCACATTTCTGACGCACACAGTTGGTTCAATTCTTCATTAGTCTCTCTGACCGACTTTCTCAGTAGAGACACACTAATGATCTTTTCTGAATCGATTTTGCGCTTTTTTTCGAGGCATCGGGAAGAGATGTTCCATCGCAAAATGTAGGTTGTCGTCAGGTTTATTACCAGCTCCTGGAAGGATTTCATATTCCGCCTTTTATACCGCTGCGCCTCCCGATCCATCAATCGCTGCATTCTGTCGGTCGCGGGCGGCCTGATCGAGAGGCTTCAGTAATTGCATAGCTCTCATCCGAGACCTTACATCCTGCCTCGTCATTTCCATCTGCAGTGCCGCAAGGAGTAAAAATAGCTTCAGCTTCTCGTCCTGGACTGCGTCAAGGAATCGAATCGTCGGCTTCTCGTTCTTTCCGAATAGGTGGGGTTGGTATGGAGTGAAGAGCATCGTGAAGGCAGGTACGTTGTCGGAAGTCAGCGTAGCCTGGCAAACTGATCTTCAGACACTGCAAGTGATTGAAGAACGAAACATCTCGATACGTACCAAGAGTTCACGGCGTCCATCCTGCCATTCCAAGCGATACAAAGAACCACTCCAACGCCATTCCGGAGCCCTGAAAGGTTAGAAAATGACTCAAGGCGTGATGTGTAGGGCACGCACGAGCGAGTACCGCCAGCATCCGACCATTTCAAGACCTAGCCACCCACATCAAACTCTCCAGCGCGCCAGTCGATCCGTCCTAACAACCCACCTCCCTCAATAGATGTAACTCTGCGGCCCCGAAGGAAAAAATCTTTCGTGGTGCGCAGTGTGTAGATCACGCTGCCAGCACTGTCAATAATCTTGCAATCCTGGCATTGCTTGTGCGTAAATGTGAGAGCAGATGCCATGACAAGCGAAGGTGGATTGACCCCGTAGGATCCGTCTTCAGAGCTTTATATTGAAACATTAGGGCATCCGCAGCAGTGCTTGTCAATGTCAAACACTGTGTCAAACCAAGGATATGAAGCTTGTGACAGGTGCGTGATCAAAGATTGGGCCGTTTCCGGATCCATCCAAAATGCAGTGCTGATGCCCGACAATTATGCCGGCAGCAACTGTCTTGCATTGTAGCACATTTCAATCGGCCTGGGCAGAGACTTCGAACTCGATGCGGGAGACTTGAATACTTTCTCGTCTCGTCATGCAGAACAGACGAGCTTCACAATCATATTCTTGTTGTTGCTTGACTCACATTTTAAGCCTGGATCGCGGATTCTTCCTGGCTGCTCTAAACCCGGTTTCATGCGGTGTATCGATCATTTAGGTGCAAAGAAGCGGACGATTTATCACAAAAGATTCCGCGCATCCACAGAAGGCTGAAGGGACGTTGATCAGTAGCTTGAGCGTTTCCCCAGCGGGGAGTCACCATCCCGGACTCTGATGAGAGACACAAAGCGGACACCTTCAGGCTCGGTCCAGGACTTGGTGGTCGGGAAGGCCTAAGCAGCCCGCTCACGCCCATCAATTCGGCCGAATCGGCCATCCGGACTTATCTTTTACAGCACCATCTACACAACAACAATCAGACAACAATACAAAGTCCCCGTCGTCTTTCCTGGGTTTCTTATCTGGTCCTTGAAATCTGAGCATCGTCGTTCAGCCTATATCGATGGGTATAGAATTGATTCGTGAACAGAGCACAAACTTATTGTTATAAGATGGACCACTCGAGTGCTGTCAGAGACGGTCTGAGCATGCCAGGGGCCATTTGAAAACAATGGAACACTGACAAAAGAGACACTGGCCAACGCGTGCTTCCGCCGCTCATAAAAGGTCTTCCCCGATGTAAAAGCGTTGACATCGCAGTTCCGACCAGACGTGAAGCCATGCAGACCATCCTCCGCCTTCCAATCAGCTTATTTCGTGCCGTTTTGACGGGTGACTCGAAGCAGTCTTCAGGGATAGACTGCAACGTCTCGAAGAAAAAGAGGACTTCCGTACAGACAGGGAACAGGGTGCGCAAGTACGGTGGATTAGCGCTCTCACTCAAGTAACTGACGATGGCTGCAGTCTGAGTCTCGCACTAGATCCAGGCCAGTCGAGAAAATTCGCAGAAGATGGCAGTCGCTTACCCAAATAGGGTGCGTGAGCCTATCCCGCTAGGTCTCGCTCACTCAGTCCTGTCCGTTTTCAAAGTGCCAGCAAGGAATGTAGCTTGCCTACTAGAACTGATGAGGTAGACTCTGCACAAGCTGCACAAGCACCTGAAAATCGGCTGCTCAAAATTCCTCTGAGAATCGAGAGAAACTCGGAGTCTCAAGTCCTGGCGGTACCGAGCGCAATATCGCGTTTTTCCGAGCCAAGAGAAGAGTCCAGTGTCTGGGACGAATTTTATGACTTTGAGTGACCCATCGACTGGATCCGAAATCTATTTTCTGGTCTTATTTTGTTAGAGTTTCGATATATTTAATGGACCGTTCAATTACCACGTTGTATTCTAGACCTTGCTCTTGCAATTACTGAGCGGAGAGTTCGCACGTGATGCTGACGTCGCTCAATCTTCCGCTTCTTGCTGCTTTTCGCACACAGGTGCCCTTCTCGTCAGCCTTGCGTGCAGCAGGCAGGAACGATCTCTCCGCAACTCATACGCCCTCCCTGGTTCATTCTTTCCTCGAATTCTCTCTCTGAATATTCTTGGACTCGCTGGGAGCGCATCAGCCAAGACGGCGCGTTTTGGAAAGCAGTCCCCGTCATCGTCGGACACTAACCAAACACAGATTGAACCAGAGAACCAAAGCAGCCCGAATAGCGCGCGGTGGTGATAGCCCGGATTCTCTACCGGCGCACGTCCTGGTTGGGTATAGATCCTATGGTATCTCCTCATTAGCCTCAGTAGTGCGCTGTGCTCAACTCATCTACTGTCGGGATGATCGGGGGTCCTATATTCGCGGGACCAAGATCGATGCGTTGCTTTTGGCTTGGGAGAGATGATGGAATGGACGACGAACACGACGCGACGTAAATTCGTTCATATCCGCTGTCATTTCGTCCAGCAGAGTGCGGCTACTTGCAAGATTTGCACCGATCGGCTGATTACCGTCTGCATAGTCAGTCTGCAAAATGACGACGCCTGATTTCATCACAGCGTGGTGAAACACTCGCATGTTGTCGCGCAGAACCGTCTGTGACCTCACCCGCTATCCCGCCTAACAGGCTCTGAAGGTCTAGTCTGACTACTGTTACGTATGCATGAGTCGTATCTCATCCGGTCACGCATAAGACTTGCTCCGCGTCGACCCAGCATAGACCCTGACCGAAGCTCGCAGTTTCTGGATAGTTCCATCATTCAAGCAGAGGAGTTGTAGCGAGTGCAGACGACCAGACGAGCCGCGAAACTCAGCAGACGCAAAAAGGCGCTCTATCGCTCTTAGAGATATTGGCTCGTTGGTCAACTGGACGATACGAACAGAGACAACATCCGAGATATCGTTTACATCTTTACTTCCCGTGATCATCTGTTGTATTAAGTATACTGCACCGATTGCAAGTTGACGTAGCGCCTTTCATGCGGTCAACATTACTTCCATCTCACCCTCTGTTCGGCTAATCTGGATTATCGACGTCGCAGCTAAGGTGGATTCCGTGGCATGGCAGCTGGAAGCAGGAGGATCATAATACAGACTGTCACATTTTACACGAAAAGCATGTACACAGATTACAGAGCAACAAAAGCAAAAACCGATGGCTAGCGAAGGTACTTGTCATTCAAGGCGTGTACTTCCCTCGCCAAAACCGGCCATGTCACACTGCGCGCCAGCTCTTTCCTGAGCCGTGCATGATATTCCTCCTCGTCACCACCAGCCATCGCTCGTTCTTTCGCCAGGCCGACCTCCCATCCCACCAAGTTGAATAAAAGCCGCATGTTAGGCTGAATCAGAACACTGAGACGCCGGCTGCGGACAACAAGGTAAGCATCGGCCAGCGGTAGCCCGAGGTGCTTCATGACATATGCGATCACGACCGTCGCACTACGGCTGACACCGACCCGACAATGAACTAGCACCTTGCCCCCTTCCAGTCTCGCACGCTCGATGTAGGCTGTGATGGGACCCAGCTGGGGCTCGAGTGTATCAATTCCATCGTCGCAGATGCCTGTAATGTCCAGCACATTGATCCGCCCTTCTCGTTCTTCGTGCCAAAGCGACGAGTGATGGTGATGGTTGTGGGATGAGGGGGAGTGATTGGTGGACTGGGGAGGAGGCACTAATGCACACTCGCCCACGGATACTACATGGGTGATGCCCAGCGCGTGTAACATGTATGCGTTCGACGCGTGGTTGCTGTTCGCTAAGCGTTAATAACCAAAGAGACAAGCGAGAGACAAGCTACGCACAGGTTCCCCAGATACAAGAACGGCAGCACCCGACTCGGGAAACTTCCATCGAATCTTGGGTCGTTGAACCAGCTCTGATGGTCCCCTCCGAATGACAGCGGCAGCCACGGACTCGTCTTTGCTCGAGGACGGCCGGTCGTGACCGATGCCGGTGAGACCTTGTCATCGCCCGCGTGCATCAGTCCCCCAACACTAACACTCCCTCGCCGCCCACCCATGCTAATCGTTGACCCACTCAGTCCCAGCCGGCCTTCAATTCGTCTCAAAACTCCGAGTTCGGCTGGGTAAACAAAGAAACTACGGCCTTTTTCGACCTGTAGTTCCAGATACGCTTCCGGAAGCGAAATCCGGCGCGCCGACATCAACAGCGTCAGCGCCAATGGCGAGGATTCGGTGTATCCGTCCGCCGAATAGACGAGGATTTTGAGCGGTCGCGTCTTCTGGGGTGACATGGACAGCGGCGAAGACGAAGATGGCAGCGACGGCTCTGGCGATGTCATCGAGCGTGATCGCGTGCCAGCATTCGGGAACGGAGACCCGGGGAAAGCACTCCATCGCCGTCCCTTTCCAGTTCCCTCATCTTTATCCTTGCCTTCAACTATTGGTCGGATGCAGCGCTCCAAGAACGCCACGAATGGCAGCATCGCACTGACGGTGCCAGCTGAATTCGTTGGAGCGCTGGGGAACGACAAGTGGATGACGGCATTGGCGTTGGGCGGCGGGCGGACTGATAGAGTGCTCGCTTCCTGAGCGAGACAGCGCTCTGCCCACAACCCATCTAACAGTCCTATGTGATCCTCCGCGGCACGAATATGCGCCAGAGACGGCCAGGCACCCATTTCGTGGCATTCAACGCAGATGTCCCAGCCCATGCCAAGCTGCGGATCGTTATTCGTGCAGTCGAAGGGATCAGTCGGCTCAAAAGACTGGGGTGCAGGAATCGGCACGTCGCCCGAATTTCCGAGGAAGATCTGCCCCACTTCGGCCCTCCATCCACCATCCCCATCTTCAGGCGTTGCTTCGGGAGCCATGCTCAGAACTTCGCTCGCTCTGGTCAACTCCCGCATCTCATCTCTCTCTCGCTGCCCGAAGTCGACTGTGTTCGGCGTCCAGTCAGCTTTCTCTCCGCCTGTGTGTGCGAGAGGAATGGCGACTGGTATATGGTTCGGGTGACGGTACGTGACTGGATCATGATGAGGCTGGTGCTGAGGATGGAGCGGGACACCGGTAGGGAACACGCGCATCATCAGCTCCGGAACCGCAGCCCTCAATGCAGCTATATCAGCGTCGAGAACGTAGACAATGTATTCCAGAGGGGACTCCCCATCTGCTGTCTTCAGCACATGCAAACAAAGTCATCGAGAGGCTTACCAGCACAACGCCCAGCTCTTTCCCGCCGTTTGCGATCGATGGCAGAAGTAAATCGCTGCGCTACGGTCCGGATCCTTGGAGAAGCTAGTCCGGATGCCGAGTACAAGACGATATCAGACAGTGTGGCATATATAGGCTAGATGTATGCATAATCAGACATGCGGAGGTAGAAAGCAAGACGACGTCATACTCACCACCTGAATGCCGAAATTCCGAAGTGAGATCCCGTCTGGAACACGCGCTGGTTGGAATTCCCAACTTCTGGTATCATCTCTGGCATCCTGCCGTGGTGCGTCGTCAGCACGTTACAGAGTGAAAGAATAATGACAATGACCTGGAGTCCCGGAACACGTCGAAGGAGCTCGCTGGGCCGAAAGCTGCATGTCAGCAACGGAGGTCCTTCATTTGTGACAGATGCGGGCGCTGGCGCCGGCGTTGGAGCTGTGGCTTGATCTTGCGGCTGTGCAGGCGTTTCTGACGGTGCTGCTGGCAGCTCCTCAGCCGCCTCGTAGGAAGAGGATGCTGACGAAGAGGATTCGGATGATGGCGGCGTGAGTCTGTAGGAAGAGAGGTCAGATGCACGAATAACTGATGGGAGAGGTGAAGATAACGAGCGGAAGTGACGTAAGATAAGAAGAAAAGAAGACGTCAAGCTCCAGGGAAGACAATAGCTGCCCCGACGCCGAAACCGCCTACATCACATACGCATGTCCAAGCGCCAGATAACCAGGGCAACAGCGAAAATGAAAAGAACAGGTCGCACGTACATATCAGAAGCCGAAGTCGAGGTAGGACTAGACCCGAAGAAGCTCGCGCCTGAGATTGAGCTCTCATGTGGTGCCATTTCCATTTCCGAATCCAGCGCAGCCTGTAGGTCGCGCTGGAGAGTAGCGTCGAGATGTACTGCAGCGCGTGAATGGACTGGGTGCATATGTTTTCCAGCGTTAGGGTCGGACTCGGACTCGGACTCGCTTGACACCAGTCCTGGAGCGATAAGTATGCCGCCGGCCGACGCGCCGTGCATAGTGCGGTCGACGTCCATGAGCACTTCATCGTCTTCATCGTCTGTGAATTCATCATCATCATCATCGTCCTCATCCATTTCGTCGTCCCATGCATCCGGCCCTCCGCGCAACTCACTCTGGCTCCCTCCCCGCACCACCATATCCTCCTCCGCTGAATCATCATCAACGCACACCCACACTAATCCCCTATACCGCGGTGCCCCTTTGCCGGCTGTAGCACGGAAGAATCCGTTCTGGGCCTCGTTACACCCTTCGAGGCCGTGAAGGAAGGGAAAGAGGAGCGTGTCGGGCGGATGTGAGAGGAGATGAGTCGTGTGCAGCTTCGCGAACTGCGTGGGAGTGAGAAGATTGAGTTGATGCTCGCTGGAGTTCGACACTGGGGCGTGCACATTCAGAGGCGTTGATTTAGAAGCAACGACAGCAGCCGGCGGTGCAGGCGTAGGCGTGTCTGTGCTGTTATCGTCCATCGCAGACCAAGGGACTATTGCACACGACAGAGGGGTCAAACAACAATGTCTGCGGCGGAAAGCACCAGCACATACCAGGTGTTGAAACCAGGTTTCCGATCCAAGTAACAAGTCAGGGGAACAAGCTGGTGTATGCGTGTCGCTGGGCGTGCGAGTCGGTGGTGGCCTGAGTTGTCGTTATAGGTGAGGTGTGGGAACGCGGATAGCGATTCGTGGTCGAATAAGTCTTTGATATGCGCGTGAGTCAAGTTAAGGCTCGACAACGATGGCGACGAGACGAGAACAAAGGCAAGCAGGAAGGTTTCGTCGCGCACAGGATGGGCGTGCGAAATCGAAGCTGCCACAGTGCTGATGGCAGTTGCCTCGTGTTCCGATCAATCACCCTTGGCGCGAACTCCTTTCTCATAGTGAGCTGAGCTCGCCATTTCTGTAGACAGCGGCTTGCTCACGCGCATATGTGATCGAGACTAGAAGATCTAATTGCGGCTCACCAAGTCTCGAAAGCCCCCGACTCAACATAAATTGCGTGCGATAGTGAGATTTTGAGCGAGCTGATTCTCGAAACTGTCATTGGCACTGTCAAGATCCTTTCAGCCTCCATTCAATGCTCCGTTCAGTGTCGCCACCCTCTCCGTCCTCCGTTGCCCGCCCAGCATCATAAACTCGGGATCGATCAACACAAATGCGGAACGGTTGCCAGTATTTACCCCCCTATTTCCCCACCCTAATCAAAATCACGGCGACTGTCGGGCTCGGAGAGCGAGCGGAACCAATTTTGATTACCTGTGAATGAAGAACTGAAAGCGGGATTGATTGGTGCCGCCTGTGGAAGTCATACGTTAAAAGTGTGTGCTGTTTCTACCGAGTGACCCTAGTACCACACAGAACATGATTCATAATAACCGCTATCAAAACCACTCCCTTAGCCTTTCGATGGAAGGCTTTCTGGCTGTTCTCGATTTTTCAAGATTGCCTGCTCCCACGGGAACACTCCTTCCATCAAGATCATAGTGTTTCTTCACTATTCTAGCCTGATAACCCCTGGCTAACTGAATGTAGTCTCACGGAAACATCCGGGAACCGCCTTACTTCCAAGCTGCCTTCGATTTTCATCCAGCTGCGCAACACAATCTGGGAGGGCGAATGGCAATCCATGTTGTCATTTAGTCGGAAGTCTGGGATGAATATAGCGCCTCAATGATTTCCCAATCCGTGGAGTCCGAGGAGAAACATTCCAAAGTGGACGCTCAGTTCTGCATTTCAGCTCGAGTGACACACGCAGCCAATGAATTGGAAGGCTTGAGACTTGAACGGAACGCCGTGCTCCGATGCTTCTCACATTCGAGTAGCCGCATAGACACAACTTTGCCTGAGTCTGGGCAAGTCGCGATGAAACAAGTGAAGATCATTGAGCTTGAACATTTCCCAAATGACCTGCGCATTAAACTCATGTCAATTTCTCTCTCATGATAAACAGTTGACCCTTGGCGAATCCTCTGCGGCGCTTTCAGTCGGACGGATCGGCGATCTCACCCGGCATCCCCGATCATTGATCCACGGATATGTTGTGTGTGTTTTTGGAATTTGGAATAGTTTGGAATGCGGCAGTGATGAGACCCGACTCCCGGCAGCCGCTCGAACCTCTACTGAGTAATACACCGCACCGGATGAGGGCATCGAATGGCAACCCCGCGACGATGGGCAAACCCTCTCCACGCCTGGAAAGCTGTGTGGTCCTTGCGATCAGGACTTATTTGAAATGCGACCCATTCCATATCGGTCGTTCCGCATGCAACCTGAGCCACGGGACAGGACGCTATCGCCGCGGGCCTTATGGAAACGGGCTCAATAGAAACTCCCGGCAATAACATGGATAGGGACATATAAGTAGACCTTGAGGGGTACGATCTCATGTTTTTCCCCACTCATGAGATCCGCCGGTCTCACCCCGGACGTTTTACGACTTGTACTTGAGGCTGCGGCCAGAGACGATGGAGGGACGGCGCGTTCGCTAGCAAGACTCTCGAGGGGCGTTCAAGCATGGTGCGTTTCCCTCCTGCCTCCGTCTTCGAACTGGCCATCGAACACGGTTTTGACTTTCTAGGATAGACCCGATCCTCTACTCGGCGATCCGGCTCTCTAATCATCGGATGACTCTCGCGTTTCTCCGCACAATGGAGAAATCATCCACCAAGCCACCGGCATTCTTCACATCGCATGTGAAAGCCCTCTGCATTCTCTACGATATGCTCCCGGCGCACGCGAGGCGAATCACCGACGTATGCACCAGAATCGACTATCTGACGACTTGGTTCCTCCCTACGACCTCCGGGAGCCTTGGCAGCCAGGAATCGATTGCGCAGGCATTATCCCCCCTCACTCCAAGCCGGATGTCAGTTTGGCACGGGGCAACACATCCGCATCCCGCCGACCGATGGCCATTCACCGGGCCGCTATTCAGCCAACTCACACACCTGACTATCGTAAACGTCTGGGAGGACTGGGCCGGTTGGCGCTGGGACGCCCTTCCCCCGACTCTGCTCTACATCTCACTCGATCTTGCATTCAAGAACACCGGCGCTTCGGGTGGCGAGCTGCCGACAAAGGGCAGAGTCGCCGCGACAGTCCATCGTGTACTCAACGAGTGCCCCAACCTGCGTGTCTGCGCCCTGCGAGATGCGGCTGATTTCGAGCAGATGGGACCATTCGGGCAGGTGCTATCGCCTAGTCCGAAACAGCTTGACACTGCGCTATCACTCCGCGCTCTCATCGTTGATGCTCTGCGCGTCCTCGGCTGGCTGGACCACCGGATACTGTTCTTCTCCCTCCGAAATCCGGTGCCATTGCGCCAAGCTCATGACGATCGCGAAGGGAGAATATGGTCGACCCTGGAACCTGTGGTGAAGCATAGGATGGGGCGTGATTATGATGGTTCGTGGCGCCATTGTACCTCGTCCTGACTCGTCCGCTGATATTCTCTCCAGCTCGCGAAGTCTTGCTAGTCTCTTGATGCACCCTGAGTTGGTGCTGTACCTTCAGATAGCACAGTCGCACAGTCAAAATTCCTCACTGGTATCCTAGATCACCGCAAAGCGAATCCGGTTCTCCATCGTTCAATACAATCTCGCTAATCGTGTCCCTGAAAGTACGCTCAATGATATGTATAATCAAACGATCAATCCGAGACAGTCGACGGTATCAAATTGTGTTCGTTTTATGGGGGCAATCACTGGACATTCAAAGAAAAAGAAGATCCCGTTTCATGATCCGGATTAGCTAGCTACCAGATTTCCAGTATGTCGTCTTGATCTCAAATAGGAAAGTGACCAAGGACTATTCCTCCTCCTCGATATATGAGGAGAAAGCAGCTGAAGTTGACCAGGGTACGTGTGATCTATCACTCAGTTCAAACAACCGGAGCTGGAAGACACAGAGCATTGGCCTACTCCGGGACGACTTGAACATGGCAAAGAACTGACAAACGTTGAGCATGCAACCCAGCCCGGTAGATTCCAAATTGCAGAGTCGTCGAACGGCGAAGCAGATCATAACAATCATCATTCAGCGGTAGACTTTGAAACTTGATATACATTCGGATTATTACAAGACATCTCACTGTGCTTTCTTCGGCTCCTTAAACTTCACATCGCACCGCACGTAATTATGGTAAAGCTCATCCGACGTCAACAGAGTATCCTCCTTATCCTTGTTCGCCGGGTCCAAGAAGGCAGCAAGCGGTTCGTGGAATTCAAGAAACGCCGCGGCTGGATGAGAAGGGCTGTCAATAACCAGTCACATATGAGCGAAGTCATGGGGAACGCACTGCCAGGCTCGTAAGAATCTCCCGCATCCTTGACCCCAGACCCTCCGTGGATCTTTTTCCGGGCTCCAGAGCTGGGATTCGCGCCGATATTGGTGTAAAACATCGCGCCGGGTTCTGCGACGGAAACTTCAGTCCAAGAAATCAAATACACGAGGTCACACACGATTCGTATCAAACACCAGCTTCAAGCCCGTCTTTGTAGACGACAATTCGGTGACTGGGATAGAACGAGTCCCCCGCTGGGCTCTGGGTCCATTCGAAGGGCGGAGGAGATCACCAATCAAGTCAACCTCAGAAAAGGACGACAGCGGGACGCGCGTCGGAGCACGCTCGAATGGAGAAAAGAAGTAGTAGTCGTCTGTTGATTCACTTCAACAATCGCCAGGACTTGAAATCTAGAACACCCACCATATCCTGGATCGGGATATTGATCGCCGATGGCCTTGGTAATGTGTGCGTGAGGAGTATTGGCGGTGGGGATGAGTCCAATAGGCAGACTGTCTGGATCGCGTTTCACAATGTTGTCGGCCTGCAAGGCTCAGATTGTTCAGTGTGTGATGGGTGAGAATAGATACAACAGACCTTCATATCAAGAATATGCCCTTTCACCGTCGTGGAGTCAGTTCCACGTTGGGATGCCTCAAGATTGAATCCCCAATGCTATGATGGCTAAGCAGTGTTATCGAGGCCACATGACGAACAACGCACCTGGGTCAGATTCACCGGCGTCACCGCCTTTGCGCCGCCCTCGACATCTAGCTTGGCGCGATACACAAGCACAACACTTCCCAGATCATACTCTTCGTTCTCCGAGGTATCCCCGGGCTTCCTGTAGTGTCGTTCTTGCTCCCCAGGCTCTACTACAGCAACAAGTGCCTCAGTGACAAGCTTGCCAGGAAAGCCCTGATCGCCGTTGGGCGATACGAGTCTGAATACAGCGTATGAGGAGGGCGACGAGCCAGTGGGGATATGCGCGAGCTCCTTCGCGGAGAACAGCGTCGGTGGGTTCTCAGGTGTCAACAGCGTCCAGCCCACCGAGTCGAAGCCGACTGGTCCGCCGTGCAGCGATACCCTGGCACCCTCTTTGCTTTGAGTTAAAGACGCGTCCGATCGGATATGAGGAAGCCGACGCACCGTTCAGTAACGCAGTGGTCTCCGCGCTGATCCCGTGCCGTTCGATCTTGTGCGTACCGATGGGCAGGCGATTCGAGTATCGCCCAATGATCGTGTTCGTATACTTTTGCGTGACGTGGCCCGCTGGGTCCTCGGGCCCGATAACGATATCGTGTGTCTATCATCGGAATCGGATTCTGAAAGGTGAATGCGGAGACGTAGACTCACGCGGCCGTCGGCTTGTACGAAGAGACGATGGATCGTAAGGCCATAGGGCACGACCTACAAGGCATGCTCATTCAGTACGCAAGATCACGCGTTCCACTAAGACATAGCTCACCTCCAAAGCCAGCGCAGGGGTGAGCGATGGAAGCGCCAGGAGAACAGGCTCGAAGTCAGACATCGTATCGTGGATGTGGTCAGGAAACGAAAGGACGCAGCAGACCTTCGTTTACGTGCCAGGCTCATTTCGGCCCACCCATTCCGCCGCATAGAATAGGTGAACGGAATTAATTCGGTCCGAGGTGTGGCAAGATCAAAAGAACGTACCTCGTGATCTTCCCTGGATCACTCCCATCATCACGAGCGGGCCCAACACCTCTTCCATGTTCCTGCCGCAGAGCGAAGGGCATAGTTTCCCGCTCATATAAATCCGGAATGCACATCCGAGTCATTCATGGCCATGACTCGTATCTCTCGCGATCCTTATTCACTGTGCCGATAACAAGCGTCCACCCTCTGCCGTTCCTCTCGCATCAAATCCGCATACACCTGTACTCGATCGAAACGCGTGCGGAACAGGTTGATAAATAGGAATCAGTACGTTTCGGTGAGCTTTCCTCGGTCAATGTCTCTCCTCCGCAACGTCCTCAAGCGGAACCAGCGGCATGCCGATACTGCAAGCTCGCAGACCGATGGGTCCGAGATCGACAAAAGCGGTGCCGAGGGAGAGGTCGCAGGGGTAGATGTCGCAGCACGGGATGAAGCGGAGACACCCACCTTCCAGGACGCGTCGGGAAAGGCGTTCAACCCATCGTCTTCAAAGCGCAGCCTCAAGAGCTACGCTGCATCTATCAGCAAGCTATCCGTCGGGAAAAAGAGTATCAAGAGCTACGCATCTACCATTCGCTCTTCGGGTGGACGCACTATCCGGTCGCTAGCGGAGTCAATGATGAGCTTCTATAGCCTGGTGACGATGGGTGGGACAAGAGTGCCGAAGCGACGCAGGCCAGACTTCTCGACCCTCGGTGCGTCTCTGCAAATCATCCTCCTTCCTGCTCAGCGGCTCACTGATCGGTCTTCGTCAGGCGTCCCGCACTGGTACGAATCAGACCCACCTTCTCCTCCGCTGATGGATGGAACGGAGGAGTCTTCGCCCATCCCGACATACTACAACCGAGGGATATCTGGGACTTTGCATGCGAGATCCGCTGGGGAGAAGCCGTGGCTTGGGGTGGTCATTTACAGCCATGCGCGCCCCGAATCGGTTATGCCCATGTATCACAACGCAGGTTCGTCTGTCATTCTCTGCTCACAACGCTGGGGCTCATCGCTACGTAGCAAAGGTGTTGGGGGAAGTAAGATTGAAGGTGGCGCGTAAGATGAAGATCAGGAGTATCGATGTTTGGGTGCGTTAGCTCAGTATGTCGACTTTTCTGCTGGAAAGGCTCGCGCAGGTCATTATCAATACCGACTCCGTCCTCGACTTGTTTTCTTTGCCCCATCTGGCCATGAAAGCTACGGTGTGGAACCGAGCAATGGGCGATCCAAGGCGACTGAAGGAGAATGCTCAAGCCGTGCGAGCTCTCATGAACGAAACAGGAACCACGACAGAGAGCGGATTTCACGAGTGGCAGGGAAAGTTTCCAAAGGGAACATTTGTCTTCCCGTTCGCGTTTCCCGCATTCCCAGCTGATTTCCAAATCAAACACTTTGACGACACAAAGAAACGGGTATGTATGTTCTACTCGTTTGTGGGCCAAGCTGACACCGCTCAGAATCTTAGTCGTGTTCCCTTGCCTCGTGGGTTTGGTCATCTCTCATCTGCTGTACTCATCCTTATCGAATACAGCATCCCATACAATCACCATGGTCACGGGCTTCTCCGGTTCGATCAAATACACAGTGGGGGTCAACATCGATTATGACAAGGTCGGAGAGCCAGACGAAGAGTTTGACATGCCGATGCAGTACCTTCCACTCTCAAAACGGGTCGTTCAAGAGCCTACACCCTTTCCGTATCTTCCGACCCGTGAAGACTGGCCATTGCGCAGAGAAGTGATCGGCGGCTGGCAGCTTACCCCGTTCGGGGGACGAGGCAGACTGGGCGAGGAGATGGTTGAAATGGAAGGCATCGTGAGCACATTGTGCAGCTAAACGCAACTTCTATCGTTAACAGACTGACAGCTCGGTGTCCAGCTCCCAGCCGTCGTTACAGCAGGGGATGTGGTCCAGTTCTCTCTTCTGCTGTGGTCCAAAAACGAACTGACACTCGAAGCGCTCGGGCAGCCTGGTGCCGTCGAAGTAGCGTTTCTCAGCTCCGACATGTTCGCAGCGAATGTGATGCACCCGCGGACCTCGTCGCGGAAAGACCGCTATCTCGGACGGCTTGGATATGGTCGCGTCTGGCGCACGGATGATGGAAGGCCGGACGATGAAGGGCCTGTCCCTGAAATCAAGATGGTCCAGTTGCCGGACCCGCCAGCGCCGGGATCGGTCAAACATCCGCAGCTCGGCTCGCACACGGTCAAAGGCGCCCAGTCAAAGCGCATGAGGGAGGTCTGGATTGCAGATACCGTCAACGAGGATGAGCAGGTGGCATCTACAGTTCAGAAGGGAAGCGAACCCGGGTCTTCGCTCAGTCCTGACGACGGCAATGCTTTGTCCGAGCACAATGTGGCCTTTCTGCCGAGCGGGGAAGATGCGGAGTCGAACGTGGAATCTACTGCTGCCGATTCTGAAGCTACGACCACACGCGCCCCTTCACCTACACCGTCGACAGAAGAGATCGAAGTAGACTTTGAGGAGATCGAAGAGCCGGACCACTTCCTGCGAATGGACGGGGAGATCAAGATCCCAGCATGCACCCATCCCAGCTACCGGTTCCCCAATATGGGTCGCGAGGTGAGTGTTTACCGGTAACATCTAGAACGATTGCTCGAACCATGCCCCGCAGTACGTTGTGCACCTGATATTTAGCCACCCGCAATACATGCACATTTCCCCGAATGCGACTGGGATTCTGGCTGAGTTCCCGGTCTGGTACGTTCTAGACAGGTTCCATTACCTGCCTCCGAGTGCGACGACGCCGAGATCGCGCCAGACATGGGAACAACTCAATGCGCTACCGCGCTCTGGTGCTGAGGTGCCCATCGATAATAAATCCTTTGTGGCACCGTTCGTGGAAGGGGTTGTGACTACGGAGAAGAGACC